AGAAATGAATTAAAAGTAGAATTGGAATGTTCCTAACACAGAGAAATGACAAATATTTGAGGTGATGGATATCCCAATCACCCTGATTTTTTTTTTTTTTTTTAGAGACAGAGTCTTACTTTGGTAGAGTGCAGTGCCATCACAGCTCACAGCAACCTTCAGCTCTTAGGCTTAGGCAATTCTCTTGCCTCAGCCTCCCGAGTAGCTGGGACTCAGGTGCCTGCCACAACACCCAGCTATTTTTTTGTTGCAGTTTTGGCCGAGGCTGGGTTCAAACCTGCCACCCTTGGTATATAGGGCCAGTGCCCTACTCACTGAGCCACAGGCGCTCCCCTCAATTACCCTGATTTGATTATTACACATTGTATGCCTGTATCAAAATATCACATGTACCCCCAAAATATTTACAACTATTATATACCTACAATAATTAAAAATATTTAGAAAGGAATGAACTTATAAGTATTATTAATATAACATGAATATCCCTGAAAATCATTATAACAGAAAGAAGCCAGACAGAAAAGACCATACATGTGATTCTATTTAAATGAAATGTCCAGCAAAGGTAAAATCTTCAGAGGCAGAAAGCCCATTATTAATTGCCTAGAGCTGGATATGGGAGGATTTTTTTTTTCTTTTGCAGTTTTTGGCCAGGGGCCAGGTTTGAACCCACCACCTCCGGTATATAGGGCCGGCACCCTACTCCTTTGAGCCACAGGCGCTGCCCTGGGAGGATTTTTTTTTGGGGGGGTGTCATAAAACAGTTTCTCAGGGAACGGGAATGGACTGAAAATAGATATAAGGAATTTCTTTGAGGTGTTGGAAATGTTCCAAATCTGGATTTAGTGATGGCTGCACAACTCTGTCAATTTACTAAAAATCATTGACCTGTGTACTTAAAATGGGTGAATCTTACGTATGTAAACCTCAATAAAATTTATTTATTTTTTTTTTTTGCTGGCAGTCCAAACATAACATTTATTAAGTTTGCTGTCTCAACAATTACAATAGTAACATGGAAGACTACTGATCACAGATCACCAAAAGAGGTATAATAATAATGAAAAAGTTTGAAATATGGCTCGGAGCCTGTGGCTTAAGTGGCTAAGGCGCCAGCCACATACACCTAAGATCGCGGGTTTGAATCCAGCCCGGGCCTGCCAAACAACAATGA